CTGTGAGCTGCAGCCTCGACGCTGGCTCGAGCCACCCTCTCCCCCATCCCCCCGCCATCTCCTTCTGCTGCTCTTCCCTGTCCCCGTCCTCCCTCGTCTGCCTCCCGTCGTTGCAGCTCGCCCTTCTCCGCCACCTGCTCCTGCTCGCCTCGTCCTCGTCGTTCTCTTCCCCCTTGATACTGTTCGGGGCTTCCCTCGGCTGCGATAGTTTCAGGCTCTTCGCGCATGAAGCTTCAGTCTCAGAGCTACGCTCACGGTGGCTACTAAGCAGCACATCCAAGGAACATTGTCTACGGAGCTCCTACCACCTGGCGCCCGAGTGATAGCAGCACGCAGCACATATCACCTGGTGGGCCAGGGATTCGTGCTAAGGACCTCCTAGGTATAAGCTGACCGTTCGAGAAGTTCTGCGGTTATCGGCTGCTATATTTATTTGGGAGCATCCCCCTTGTCACTCTTCCTCTATTCGTTCTCTCCTCCACGTCCTGCCCATCCTCCTTTCTACGCTGGCCTCCTCCTCCTCCTCCTCCTCCTCCTCCTCCTCCTCTTCCCCCTCACCCTCCGATCGCCAGCTCGGGTCGAGCCGTTACTAGTTGCCGAGCCCGCGCCACGGAGCCCTTCTCGCTCCGCGTCCTCCCTCTTCGATTGTTTCCCAGCGGTTCGCGGGGCGATGTCGGCGGATGCCGGCGGCGCGCCGTCGGCCGAACTGCTCCGCCGCCGACCGCGGTGCCCACTACGCCCGTGCCGAAGGTCGGGCCGTTGGGCAGCTGCTGCGGGCGTTCGCCCAGGTTGAACGCCACCGTGGCCAGCGCCTCTCTAGCCTTAGGTTGGGCATGTCCCTCTACAGGAGGATGTTCGATATTTCCATCAAAATCCGCCTTTAGGAGGACATGCCCGACCTGAGTCTAGCCCGGTCCTGGTGCTGCGCTCGGCGCTGGCGGGCGCCGCCGATGCGACCGAGGATGCCCGTCCCGTTTCCCGCCCTGGCCCCGCACCTGGGGCGGCGGAGACGGGGCCAGTGCTGTATGAGGCGCTGGTGCAGCCCAGACGTCGGCATCCCCCTCTCCTGCGAGGACGTGGCGGAGATCGGGGCGCCGTGATCGAGGCGCTCAAGGCCCATGCCGCGACCGCGGCGGCCGGTGCTGCCTCGCTCGCACGTGCGGCGGCCGACTCGCAGGTCCTCGTGGGCGTGGCCGCCCCCGACGTCGAGGAGAGTTTGCAGGGAGTCGGAGGTGGAGGACGAGGAGACGGAACGGCGGGCGGCGGCACGCCGGCGGAGGCGCGGAGGGGGCGCGTGCGGGCGACGCCGCTTCCGTCCGCGAGGTCGAAGCCGCCGCTGGACCCCCTGCAGCTGGTGCGCGAGGAGGAGCATCGTGCCCGGTCGGCCGCCATGGGCAAGCTTCGTCGGCATGCTCGCCTTCCTGGAGCGCCGCAGGCGGCCGCGCTGGCGTGCTTCTCGGTCCTGGGCTGTGCAGCCGCCGACGTCTTCGGCTGCCTGGGGTGGCTCTTCGTGGAGGGCAAGCTGACTGGCCCTGCGGGAGTAATTACACCTCGGATGCAGTACCAGAGAGAGCTCCTAATGGGGAGCAGGGCGAATACGCTCCCACGGAAGGGCAGTACCCCGTCCCTCCTGCCCGTCGGGGAGAGGTCCCAAAGGGGAGCAGCTGGACGCGTGGTGCGCCAGCTTCTTGTTTTCGTCGGCGAGCCCTTCGACCAGCTCTTCGAGCTCTTCTCGGATTTGTGTTCGTTCATTTTTTCGTCGTCACCCCGCGGAGGGTGCCGCTCCGCCCGCGTGGGCGACCCAGGGAGGGATCGTCGTCGTCGTCGTCGTCCGCGCCACTCGGCTTTTTCCTTGGCAGCCTCCTCCTATTCCTCCCCCTCTTCCTCCCCCTCCTCCTCATCTTCCTCCTCTTCCTCCTCCTCCTCCTTCTCCTCCTCTTATTCCTTCACCACCTTCTTCTCTTATTCCTTCACCACCTCCTCCTCCTCCTCCTCCTCCTCCTACTCTTCCTTTTCCTTCGGCACTCCAGCTCGATCATCGAGCAGGAACCCGTCCGTCGCGAAAGAGCAGCGCCAGGCGGGGCCGACCAGCTCCCGGCACGCGCGCTTCAGTGCAGGGAGGCGGGCGCCACGAAAGTCATTAAGACACGACCAGCGCGTTTGATGGTTTTTCTCCCCCACTTGCTGGGCTTCGTCCGTACTGCGGCTGCTGGCCCCGCCCTTGGGTGCGTCGTGATGCCGCCCCGCGATTGCTGCCTGTGGCTTCCCTTCAGCACGGCCGCTCCCGCGCGCTCCCCGCGGCCTCGCCGCGTGAGGGAACCCTCTCTCCTCGGTCCCTTCTACGCGGCCGCCCCCTCGCCTCCCTCCTCTCCTGCGTGCGGGCTAATTCGCGACTCCGTGTCCCGGTTTCGCCCCGGCGCGCGAGCGGATTGCCTCTGCCGCGCCCCGTCGTCCAGGACACCGGGACCCGGGACGAAGTGTTTGATGGCTTTAGGACTCCGGGACCCTCGTGGATCGATCCAGAGCGAAGAACGACGCCTCGCGGGTCCAGGAGAGTGGCGAGCGTGAAGGAGGCAGCGGAGGGAGAAGGAAGAGGGAAGGGTGGGACTGGTGAGGGGGTGAGGGGAGGACGCCCCCACCTACACCCCCCTCACCACTTCTGCCTCCCCCCCTTCCTCGCCCCAACGGCAAGCACCCGCAGCGTATAACTGGAGTCAACGCCCCACTCTTCGCCACCCCCACCTTCCTTCCTGGTCCTCCTTCTCCACTCCCCCATTTTCTCCCCCTCCTGATTATTATTCATCTGCCTCCTCCCCCCTTCTCCCGCTCCTCCTCTTCCTCCTCCTCCTCCTCCTCCTCCTCCTCCTTCGTTTCCTCCTCCTCCTTTCCTCTTCCTCCTCCTCCTCGTCCTTCTCCTCCTCGTCCTCCTCCTTTCCTGTCCCATCCGCGGCGCGAATGGCGCCTCGCGCTCGTGCGTGCTCAGCGTCGCGCTGGCGTCCGCCGCGGCGTGCTGGCGGGCCGCTGCGGCCTCCGCGGTCGGCACGGGGCGGCGCTGCCAGGCACGGCCTCCCGCGGCGGCCCCGCCCCGCTCGCGCAGCTGCCGCTGCTGCTGCCAGTGGTGTTGCCGGTGCTGGTGCTCGTCGCCCTCGGTGTGGTGAATCCATTTGTTGTTATTCCCTACCTAGGCCCTGCCTAGAGGGTTCTTACTCTCTTAGCTTAAAGGGGCGGGGCAGTGGGAAGCGCCCTGGGCGGTTCCCCCAGTCCCCGCCCCGCGGTTCCCCCAGTCGCGCCCCCTTAGCTTGGCTTAGCTTATCTCATCTTAGCTTAGCTTATTTCCTCTTAGCTTAACTTAGCTTAGCTTCATCTTAGCTCAGGTTTATCTTAGCCTAGCTTACCTTCATCTTAGCTTCGCTGAGTTTTAGCATAGCAGAGCACAGCAAAGCAAATCATAGCGTAGCATAGCATAGCGCAGCACAGCATATCATAGCACAGCCCAGCGTAGCATAGCATAGCGCAGCATAGCATAGCATAGCATTAGCATAGCGCAGCACAGCACAGCACAGCATAGCACAGCGCAGCATAGCATAGCATAGCTAGCATGGCATAGCATAGCATAACATAGCGCAGCTTAGCATGGGTGCAATTCCCTACATAGGATCTGTCTAGAGGGTTATCTTAGCTTAGCTTAGCATAGCGCAGCGCTGCATTAGCATAGCATAGCATAGCATAACATAACTAAGCATAGCACAACATAGCATATAATAGCGCAGCATAGCATAGCATAGCATAGCATAGCATAGCATATCGCAGCATATCATAGCACAGCATAGCATAGCTTAGCTTAGCTTAGCACAGTGCAGCATGACATAGCACAGTTTAGCATGGCATGGCATAGCATAGCATAGCGCAGCATAGCATAGCATAGTATAGCATAGCATAGCATGGCGCAGCATAGTATGGCATAGCATAGCATAGCATAGCATAGTAACTAATGCTGCTTTCCTAGGGGCTCCAACTTCTAGGTAGGGTGGCACAGGGGTAATCTAATATTTGAAGAATACAAGAAGAAAAGGCCATACACATAAACGTTTGGCGCTCCGCCCGGATTCCTTGGATCTGCGCTGGGCCCCCCCGGCGGAGCCTCCAGCGCCGCCCCTGGCGCGCTCCGAGCGCCAGGGAGGGGGTTTTAGTCCAGATCCAGGATATGTTGCGCCGCATAGATGGCACATGGCACAATACATTGCACCCCGGTGGGCGCACTTCACACTGCACCATAGGTTGCATCAAGAGGTAGACGTGTGTATGTGTGTATATTAAAATATATGACACCACGTAAATTGCAACGTACTGGTTGTGCCACCTATTCTTGCACCACGTAGACTGCACAACACATGATGTTCAACATCTTGCGCACCATACATTTGCACCAGGTAGCATGCAACGACACATATTTCACCGTAAAGGTGGCAGCACAAACATTGCGCCGCACGGATCGCACCACCTAGGTTGCATCACATAGATGGCATCACATTCAGATCGCACCGCATGCGCATGCATGTTGCATACTTCGAATTACCCAACTTATATTGCAACATTGTGTTGGAAACGGAGATGCTGCACCACGTAGTCTGCGCCATGCACATATTGCACCACATGGCTACGGGCCACGGACGTCGGGAATGCACGTGTCTATTGTTTGGGGTCCACGTTGGCTATCTTTCTGAGAGATCAAAGACTATTGGCTCCGAGTCTCAACGTC